CTCAAAAATTACTATTATCAAGGAATTTCCACTACTGAGTCAATGGACATATCTTCCGCTTCATCTTCTACTGTTCTACTATCAGTGATGACACTATATGTGGACTATCTTTGGAAATAGGTTCATATGCTGGTTGTTACTAGTGCTTCTACTTAATTTTGTAGTTGAAAAACACTTTACATTTTATTGTTACACTGAATCATTTTAAAAAACATGGTAAACACAACTAAAAAATTGCAAAAAATCAAAAAATTACAATAACTATAATTCTGACACACACATCTGCATGATCTTTTGAAGCTTATTATATGTACATGTATTCAGCATTGTCTTCTACTTCTGGACTATTATTGGTGACATTGTACGCTGGATTATTATCTGTTGAAATACTATTGAATGCATATGCTGGATTATCATCTGTTGTGATGGATCCAGTAGTGCCTTGCTGAGTGTTGCTATCATCTGGTGGTCTATTAATACTTGACAGCTTTCTTTTCACACAAATATATGCCACTACTATCAAAGATATAAAGACAACCACTATGCATACTGCTGTCATTGCAACTCCAATTATTATAGCTGATGCTGTTGAAAGTGTGGTAGGAGAGAGAGGTGTAGCTAAATGATAAAAAAAGAAAAAGGATAATGCCTTACTATTGAGACTATTCCCTAGCCTGCAGTAGGCTGGGCAGTGATATTTACCATTTATAGTAGTAGTGATTCCAGTATTAACAGTAGATGTGTCAGTTATCATACTACTGCTAATTGTAGTAGTAAAAATACCAAGACTACTCATGGAAATACCTAGTATTCATAATGCATTTAAATTATGGTAATGTTTCTACTTACTGATTTCTGCTGCAACTAATGGATAATTATTAGCAACAGATTCCAGTGATCCTGTTATTATAGTTGACAATGCACCACCACCTCTAAACCTATTAAGTGGGCCACTCTCTACCTGCTCATAAAATACTAATCGGCTTGAACCTGGTGAAGGAATATAAGCACCAAATATGTCTCCTTCCTGGAACTGCAGTGGAGTCTGAGGAATAAACTCATAGAGATTAGTACCAATCATTGTAATGTCATCAAATGTGATTGAACTAAATGAAACTTTATTGTAAGTACTTGAACTTTGTTGATGCCATATCTGGAACTCTACTAATGCATTTTGATTATTGGTTTGATTCTCAGCTCCAAAGATCCATTTAGTGACTGATCCATTACACAAGAAGAACATATCAAGATATAAATACTGTCTTTGATTTTGAAACATTATTGATTGATGTATTCTAAGAGCATTTTCCCCAATGAATGAAGCATTGATTGAATTGGCACTATTAACACAGTATCCATCTAATGATAGTAAAATAATTCAATGATACAGTGAGTGTGTGTCTTACCTGTTACTGGATATACTAATATCAACTGATTTGTGGTTGCAGGGTTATCAAA